ACAGTAGTATCTATAAGCATATATGCCTACACACCCTACATGCAATAGTCAGGAGTATCTACAGGCTTATATGCCTACACACCCTACATACAATAGAGTTAGTAGTATCTGTGCACATTTTGGGGGGAAGTAGAGGACATCAGTGGAGGCGATGGTCAAAGTTTTAGATGCCCTCCACTGGGAGCTCGAGTAAAGCAGCTACAGGCCCGTCGACATTCTCGTACTCTAAATGCGTGACGTCGATTATAAATGTGGAGTAATCTGAGGACCCGGAGAAAATCCACATGTACACCACAGAGAGAGAGGGAACATCCAAACTCCAAATATACAACAGGTGTCAGGGTCGGGATCGAACCCACGACCTCCTGCATACCAGGCGAGGGAGCTAACATCTCCTCGCCACCGCGGCGCCCAGTTTTCTCTGCAGCAGCCGATACCTGTGTAGTGTAATAGCGCCGGCTGGTGGACAGCAGCAGCAACTGTGGTGGACAGACAGTACCCATGCCGGTGATGATGTGCGCGGGGTGTTGGCAGAGGGGGTACGAGGGTAATGGTCACGGAAGACCCCAACTGGAAGCCCCTGGAACCTGCTCGTGAGTTCGAGAAAGGAGGCGCGGTCAGGGCGGAGCCAGGCCACGCTGGGAGCATAAAAGGAGCCGAGAATGGAGGCTCGAGGCTGCCGGTTCTGTTAATGGACTTGTCTCGCCGTTGCTGTCATCTCGTCGCCGTCATCGCTAATTCTAGATTTGAAGCTTTCGTGACTGCAAGGATTCATACTCTTAGTTTTTTTGGTAAAGTCACGCTGGTGACTTTACCGAAAAAACTAAGAGTATCATCGCGAATCATCTCCGCGAGATATTGCGCTACGAAGGATAGTGGTTGGCTATCTCAGTCGGCGCCGTCAGTGTTAGGCGGCTAGTGTTGTGTACAGGCGAGGCTGAGCTACTGTGGAGAGTGTGTGGACGGGAATGTGAAAGTTAATAAAGGTGCCTTCTAGAAACTGTCTCTGAATCGTTGACACTTCACCTGTATGGAACAGACTTTACCCTTTCCCGTCCCAAGATGTCTGCAAGTTGCAGGGTGGTGGGTGTCCCCATTCGCTGCCGAATCTCGGAACGCGCAAAAGCGGCTCAGCATCAATTTAATTTAGAGAGGGGTAGTAGTATCGCCGTTGTTTTCATGAAGACGTCACCACAGCGAACCATAGCGACATGACCACCAAACTCTACAATAGCCGGTGCCAAACTGTGGCGCATGCCCTCCCTCACATGGCCTTGTGGGAGTCTCGGTACCAATAGTTTTTTCTCTCCGATCCTGATCCAATGACGTGCGCATAGTACGTCGTCCCAACGGGAAAGGGTTAATCCACCCGCAGTCTCGTCACCATCTTCGCGGCCACCGGCCGACGTTGCCGCGTCTCCGTCCGATTCACGTTCGCACAGCAGCCAATACTTTTTTTTTCGTCACACGCTAGATTCTCCCAAGAGAGAGGAGACGCGACACCAGGAAATGTGGCCCTGAATCCCATTGTCACGAGGAACCTCTTGAACAAACCACCAAAACAATTAAAATCCTCAGAGACTTTGCGAGGCTCTCCCCCGGGGGGGTTAACAGATTTTTTTTATTTTTAATTAACCAAAAATATAACTTTAATTCATCGTTCGCATTCAAAAACAATCCGTCAGATTAACAAACTCGATCGCTTAAACGACCCGGCACGCGTTAAACCAACCGGCGAGTCGCACACACACACACACACGACCGCGCGTGATCGGTAGACGGGAAGAGCGAGGCAACTCATCAAAACTCACCACCGCCATGCTGAAAATCTGCCACGATAACAGCCGCACGCGAGCAAAACTCTGCTCCGCGTCTCCACACACACAAACACTCGTTAATTGGGCCGAAAACGCCTTCAACATGTAGAGAACCGCAGAGCTCGGGGGCGATCGTCGGTAGCGCCGGCTGATCGGCGCGGCTGCTGCCACCTTCCCCGCTCGTCCGTTGTTCAGAATCTTTATTTATCCTGGAGGAAATCCAATAAGCTACGAATCTTAGTTTTTTTTCCCCCAAAGATGTCCGGTAAGGGAATGGGGGGTCCTCCATGTGCCTCCAAGTCGACCTCCAACACCCCCTGCCTCCCACCCACTCTCTCTCTGCGCGAGAGCGAGAAGCAAGTCCCAATGCGGCGGCGCAGCGTTACGAAGTTGACGTCGTCGCTACAGAGAACGCCGCGGTGAGTCCCGTTGGCCTATCCCACGGCTTTGCAGGCCAAAAGGGGCCTTGAGGAGGTAACGTGCGTGTGTGGAGCTGGTTTTTAGCGTCGGCTGTAAGTGGAGAGTGGTGGCAGTCGCGGCGCTACGGTTCTCACGCGGTAAGTAACGAAGTCTTGAGAAAAACAGCGGCGCTGTTGCTACCGCTACGCCTCGCTCTACGTAAAATCGATGCCGTGCCCATTTTGCGCGGTTCTGAGATGAGACGGCGAACGGGGCAGACGGACCCACCACCACCCACAACCGCTGCGACTTGCAGACATCTCGGAATAGGACAAGGGGTGACCACCTCCGATTAGCGAGGTTGGCAACGTACGGTGCAAAAGAAGTCCAACACACACCCAGACCCATAGTAGACCCACAGAGATCCCACAGATTAGAATGCTTGGCAATGCACGGTGCAAAAAAAGTCCAACACACACAGACCCAAGGACACCCAGACCCATAGAAGACCCACAGAGGTCCACAGATTAGCACGCTTGGCAATGCACGGTGCAAAAAAAGTCCAACACACACACAGACCCAAGGACACCCAGACCCATAGGAGACCCACAGAGGTCCATAGATTAGCACGGTTAGGTACGCACGGTGCAAAAGAAGTCCAACGCACATGCAACATGCAGAGACACGGGGTCCGAGTTCTGATACCGAACTTACTCCTCTGGACCGTAAGGAGCACACATACGAAGCATTCCCTCCACCCACCCCACGCCTCCGACACTCTCCCTTCTCTCTGCCCGTGGGTTTGTGTGGCAGCGGAGCGGTGGTGCAGCAGTTAGCAATGCACCCCTCCCCACCATCCCTCTACGAAGCCCGGCAAAGATCTACCCCCCCGCACCTCCACTGCCGAGTGTCTGATTCACGGCGAGAGCCAATATCTATTTTTCGATTTAAAGCTTTCGTGACTGCAGGGATTCATCTTCTTGGTTCTTTCGGTAACGTCACGTATAAGGGAAATAATAAAAATAAAACATAATAAAATAATTCTGACGACTTCTTGGTTCTTTCGGTAAAGTCAAAATAATAAAAATAAAACATAAAATAAAATATTTTATTTTATGTTTTATTTTTATTATTTTATTACTTCCCTTCTACGTGACTTTACCGAAAGAACCAAGAAGATGAATCCCTGCAGTCACGAAAGCTTTAAATCGAAATTCTCACGACGTTTCGGCCACAACGCAAGCAGCCGTCCTCAGGTGAAGACCAGGTCTGTCGGGGAGACAGCGTGGTGGTGTTTCATTCAGACGACAGACATGTTCTTCACCTGAGGACGGCTGCTTGCGTTGTGGCCAAAACATCGTGAGAATTATTTAATCGTTTCATTTTTATTATTTTATTATTTCCCTTCTACGTGACTTTACCGAAATAACCAAGAAGATGAGAGCCAATATCTAACCAGCGTTTTTGGGGCTTTCCCCACCCCTGAGTCGTCTCAGGCCTTCAACGAGTACCTGGGGTAGCGGTGTGTCGAAATAGTAGTAGTGGTGGTAGTAAACATCGCCACTTGGCAGGGGGAGTCAAAGGTGGCCGGGTGGGTGTGGTTTTCTGGCCACACCTCCGCCACACGGCTGTGCCACAGGTGGTTCCAGCCTCCTCTCGCTAACAGCACTCGCCCCAACAGACTGTTAGAAAACGCAACACATGGGGGGGGTGGGGGGCAGGAAGAGGGATCCTCCTTTTGTCATTTCGTGTGACCAGTTGTGGAGGTAACTTCTGTCGGATACATTCCGGAGCGCCGTACGATGGGTTTGTGCCCACAATCCCCCACGGCAACTTGGACAGAGACAGAGAATGACAGAGAGATACGAAGAAAGACAAGCAGAGAGAGCGAGACAGAGAGAGACAGAGACACACCAAGACATACACAAAGAGAGAGAAAGAGACAAAAAGCCAGAGAGCCAAATAGAGGGAGCAAGACAGAGAGAGACAGAGAGACAAAGACATAGACAAAGAGAGAGACAGACAGAGAGACACAAAGACATAGACAAAGAGAGAGACAGAGACACAAAGACATAGACATAGAGAAAGACAGACAGAAAGCCAGAGAGCGAAACAGAGTAATAATGGAAATAAAATAAAATAATAAATCACGACGTTTCGGAAGCAACACAAGTCTCCGTCATCAGGTGGGATCACAATGATGATATAGCACAACAGCTGTGACGGTCCCACCTGATGACGGAGACTTGTGTTGCCTCCGAAACGTCGTGATTTATTATTTTATTTCCATTATTACTTTTATTAACTTTTATTTTTTACCTACGTGACTTGACCGGAAAAAACCTAAGAGTATGAATCCTTGCAGTCACGAAAGCTTCAAATCTAGAACCGACAATTGGGGTTTGCACCGAGGCCTTGTGAGATACTTTGCTCAGGGGACATCATAAACCTCGTCAAGAGACGACAACCAGGCCCAGGGCTTAAACCCAGCATGTCAGAATGTTGTCAAGGCGCCCGTGACATGGCCATTAGTAACAACAACTTGTTTGTTTTGTTTACACCAGGTGTGTGTAAGGCCCTGCTGAGACTGCTATGTGGTTCCTTTGCAGAAACGACCTGGCCATCACAAATGATGATGGCAGCACAACAAAGTGACAACTTTTCATGGTAGGGGCCGTCCATAAATGACATCACGCGATTTTGAACGTTTTTTGACCCCCCCCCCCCCCCCGTCGTCACACGGCGTCACAAAAAGTCAGACCCCCCCCTCAAATATGACGTCACAAAGCTCTGCCCCCACCCCCCCCAAAAAATGCTTCAAATTGCTTTAAACTATTGTCATTGTAGTGCGTATTTAATGCGGCGCTGCACTCTGATGTTGTAGGAGAAAACATTTATTACAAAGTCTATTTAATTAAGTAGAACGTGTTGTCTATATTTATTTAAAGTTGCGCATTTTGATGTGACGTCACATTTCTCAAACCCCCCCGTCACACATCACAAATGTCTGACCCCCCCCACCCCCCAGGTGCGTGACGTCATTTATGGACGGCCCCGTATGTGTTATTACACATCCCATAAGTCCCAAGGAATTCTGACAGTGCATTCTAATGCTCCAGTAGTAGGCAAATCCCATTTCGTTCACGATTGTCAATATTTAAAATGTTATAAACTTTTTGTATTTTACCAGGTAAGGCCCACTGAGTTATATAAGCGAACTGCCCACAAATGACAGCTCAACGAAGTGGCTCATGACGTGGAAATGTATTGCAGCCAAATCACTCTATAAACGCGTGCTGTTGATTCTAAATGTGGAGGGAAAAACCAAAGGACCCGGAGAAAAATCCACGTGATCACGATCACGGGGGGAAACACGCAAACTCCAAATATACAGCAGGCATCAGGGTCAGCGTCGAATCCACGATCTGGCCAAACAGGACCCCCTCGGAAAAAAAGTCTAGGATAGATTAGGGGACGATATTATTTTTGCGATTGCTATTATTGTTAATACGCCAAGGTGGCTGATATTTAGCTTTTTTACTCCCGTTTTTTTTTATTCCGAACGAAAAGTGCTTCATGAGGAAGAGGTGCACACGCTTTTCAAACGCTTAAAACGTTACCCTACAGGGCCACTCCATCTGTGCACCCACTGATACAAAGGGATTGGGAAACACAACGACACCAACACTCCATCTAAACTCTAGATACTGACCCTGAGACCCGGTCTCAAGACACTGATCCTGAGACCCGGTCTCAAGACACTGACCCTGAGACCCGGTCTCAAGACACTGACCCTGAGACCCGGTCTCTACTCAGGGCACTGATCCTGAGACCCGGTTTCTACTCTAGACTCTGACCCTGAGACCCGATTTCTACTCTAGACTCTGACCCTGAGACCCGGTCTCAAGACACTGATCCTGAGACCCGGTCTCAACTCTAGACTCTGACCCTGAGACCCGGTCTCAAGACACTGATCCTGAGACCCGGTCTCTACTCAGGACACTGATCCTGAGACCCGGTTTCTACTCTAGACTCTGACCCTGAGACCCGGTCTCTACTCTAGACACTCTGACCCTGAGACCCGGTCTCAACTCAGGACATTAATCCTGAGACCCGGTCTCAACTCTAGACTCTGACCCTGAGACCCGGTCTCAACTCTAGACGCTGACCCTGAGACCCGATCTCAACTCAAGACACTGTGACCCTGAGACCCAGTCTCTACTCAGGACATTGACCTTGAGACCCGGTCTCAACTCAAGACACTGATCCTGAGACCCGGTCTCAACTCTAGACGCTGTGACCCTGAGACCCGGTCTCAAGACTCTGACCCCGAGACCCAATGCCCTCTGTGTTCACTGCTGGGAGCTGTGTTTGTACGGTGGTGGTGGTGATTGTTGTGGTTGTTGTTTGTAAAGAGGTGGTTGTTGTTGTTGTTGTCTGGCCGTGTCGCGGTGTCGCGACGCGGGCTTGGGCGGAGCCACCACCATCACAGAGCCGTGGAGGTGGGCGGCCACCTGCAGCCACGCGCCCACACAATAGCGCGCCAGGTCGTAGCAGGAGAGCACCTGCGGGCGTCACACCAGACAGTACAGGCATCAGCAGAGAGTGCAGGCATCAGCAGAGAGTGCAGGCATCACACCAGACAGTACAGGCATCAGCAGAGAGTGCAGGCATCAGCAGAGAGTGCAGGCATCAGCAGAGAGTGCAGGCATCAGCAGAGAGTACAGGCATCAGCAGAGAGTGCAGGCATCAGCAGAGAGTGCAGGCATCAGCAGAGAGTACAGGCATCAGCAGAGAGTGCAGGCATCAGCAGAGAGTGCAGGCATCAGCAGAGAGTACAGGCATCAGCAGAGAGTGCAGGCATCAACAGAGAGTACAGGCATCAGCAGAGAGTGCAGGCATCACACCAGACAGTACAGGCATCAGCAGAGAGTGCAGGCATCAGCAGAGAGTGCAGGCATCAGCAGAGAGTGCAGGCATCAGCAGAGAGTGCAGGCATCAACAGAGAGTGCAGGCATCAACAGAGAGTGCAGGCATCAGCAGAGAGTGCAGGCATCAGGAGAGAGTACAGACATCAACAGAGAGTGCAGGCATCACACCAGACAGTACAGGCATCAGCAGAGAGTGCAGGCATCACACCAGACAGTACAGGCATCAGCAGAGAGTGCAGGCATCAGCAGAGAGTGCAGGCATCAGCAGAGAGTGCAGGCATCAGCAGAGAGTACAGGCATCAGCAGAGAGTGCAGGCATCAGCAGAGAGTGCAGGCATCAGCAGAGAGTACAGGCATCAGCAGAGAGTGCAGGCATCAGCAGAGAGTGCAGGCATCAGCAGAGAGTGCAGGCATCAGCAGAGAGTGCAGGCATCAACAGAGAGTACAGGCATCAGCAGAGAGTGCAGGCATCAACAGAGAGTGCAGGCATCAACAGAGAGTGCAGGCATCAACAGAGAGTGCAGGCATCAACAGAGAGTACAGGCATCAACAGAGAGTGCAGGCATCAACAGAGAGTGCAGGCATCAGCAGAGAGTACAGGCATCAACAGAGAGTGCAGGCATCAGCAGAGAGCACAGGCATCAGCAGAGAGTGCAGGCATCAGCAGAGAGTGCAGGCATCAGCAGAGAGTACAGGCATCAGCAGAGAGTACAGGCATCAGCAGAGAATACAGGCATCAGCAGAGAGTACAGGCATCAACAGAGAGTGCAGGCATCAACAGAGAGTACAGGCATCAACAGAGAGTACAGGCATCAACAGAGAGTACAGGCATCAGCAGAAAGTACAGGCATCAACAGAGAGTGCAGGCATCAACAGAGAGTGCAAGCATCAACAGAGAGTGCAGGCATCAACAGAGAGTACAGGCATCAACAGAGAGTGCAGGCATCAGCAGAGAGTACAGGCATCAACAGAGAGTGCAGGCATCAGCAGAGAGTGCAGGCATCAACAGAGAGTACAGGCATAAGCAGAGAGTACAGGCATCAGCAGAGAGTACAGGCATCAGCAGAGAGTACAGGCATCAACAGAGAGTACAGGCATCAGCAGAGAGTACAGGCATCAGCAGAGAGTACAGGCATCAACAGAGAGTGCAGGCATCAACAGAGAGTGCAGGCATCAACAGAGAGTACAGGCATCAGCAGAGAGTGCAGGCATCAACAGAGAGTACAGGCATCAACAGAGAGTACAGGCATCAGCAGAGAGTGCAGGCATCAGCAGAGAGTACAGGCATCAGCAGAGAGTGCAGGCATCAGCAGAGAGTACAGGCATCACACCAGAGAGTGCAGGCATGAGCAGACAGTGCAGGCATCAGCAGAGAGTACAGGCATCAGCAGAGAGTACAGGCATCAACAGAGAGTACAGGCATCAGCAGTGAGTGCAGGCATCAGCAGAGAGTACAGGCATCACACCAGAGCGTACAGGCATCAGCAGTGAGTACAGGCATCAACAGAGAGTGCAGGCATCAGCAGAGAGTACAGGCATCAGCAGAGAGTGCAGGCATCAGCAGAGAGTACAGGCATCAACAGAGAGTGCAGGCATCAACAGAGAGTACAGGCATCAACAGAGAGTGCAGGCATCAGCAGAGAGTGCAGGCATCAACAGAGAGTGCAGGCATCAACAGAGAGTACAGGCATCAGCAGAGAGTACAGGCATCAACAGAGAGTGCAGGCATCAACAGAGAGTGCAGGCATCAACAGAGAGTGCAGGCATCAACAGAGAGTACAGGCATCAACAGAGAGTGCAGGCATCAGCAGAGAGTACAGGCATCAACAGAGAGTGCAGGCATCAGCAGAGAGCACAGGCATCAGCAGAGAGTGCAGGCATCAGCAGAGAGTGCAGGCATCAGCAGAGAGTACAGGTATCAGCAGAGAGTACAGGCATCAGCAGAGAATACAGGCATCAGCAGAGAGTACAGGCATCAACAGAGAGTGCAGGCATCAACAGAGAGTACAGGCATCAACAGAGAGTGCAGGCATCAACAGAGAGTGCAGGCATCAGCAGAGAGTGCAGGCATCAACAGAGAGTACAGGCATCAACAGAGAGTGCAGGCATCAACAGAGAGTGCAGGCATCAGCAGAGAATACAGGCATCAACAGAGAGTGCAGGCATCAGCAGAGAGTACAGGCATCAGCAGAGAATACAGGCATCAGCAGAGAGTACAGGCATCAACAGAGAGTGCAGGCATCAACAGAGAGTACAGGCATCAACAGAGAGTGCAGGCATCAGCAGAGAGTACAGGCATCAACAGAGAGTACAGGCATCAACAGAGAGTACAGGCATCAACAGAGAGTGCAGGCATCAACAGAGAGTACAGGCATCAACAGAGAGTGCAGGCATCAGCAGAGAGTACAGGCATCAGCAGAGAGTGCAGGCATCAACAGAGAGTACAGGCATCAACAGAGAGTACAGGCATCAACAGAGAGTGCAGGCATCAGCAGAGAGTACAGGCATCAACAGAGAGTGCAGGCATCAACAGAGAGTGCAGGCATCAACAGAGAGTACAGGCATCAACAGAGAGTACAGGCATCAACAGAGAGTACAGGCATCAACAGAGAGTACAGGCATCAACAGAGAGTGCAGGCATCAACAGAGAGTGCAGGCATCAACAGAGAGTGCAGGCATCAACAGAGAGTACAGGCATCAACAGAGAGTGCAGGCATCAACAGAGAGTACAGGCATCAACAGAGAGTACAGGCATCAACAGAGAGTGCAGGCATCAGCAGAGAGTGCAGGCATCAACAGAGAGTACAGGCATCAACAGAGAGTACAGGCATCAACAGAGAGTGCAGGCATCAGCAGAGAGTACAGGCATCAACAGAGAGCACAGGCATCAGCAGAGAGTGCAGGCATCAGCAGAGAGTGCAGGCATCAGCAGAGAGTGCAGGCATCAACAGAGAGTGCAGGCATCAACAGAGAGTGCAGGCATCAGCAGAGAGTGCAGACATCAACAGATAGTACAGGCATCAACAGAAAGTGCAGGCATCAGCAGAGAGTACAGACATCAACAGATAGTACAGGCATCAGCAGAGAGTACAGGCATCAACAGAGAGTGCAGGCATCAACAGAGAGTGCAGGCATCAGCAGAGAGTACAGGCATCAGCAGAGAGTGCAGGCATCAACAGAGAGTGCAGGCATCAATAGAGAGTACAGGCATCAGCAGAGAGTACAGGCATCAACAGAGAGTACAGGCATCACACCAGAGAGTGCAGGCGTCAACAGAGAGTGCAGGCATCAACAGAGAGTATAGGCATCAGCAGAAAGTGCAGGCATCAGCAGAGAGTACAGGCATCAGCAGAGAGTACAGGGATATAAGCTCCTAGCTTGGCATTGTCTCATTCTTCACCTGAGGACGGCTGCTTGCGTTGTAGCCGAAACGTCGTGAGAATTATTTTATTTTATTATGTTTTATTTTTATTATTTTATTACTTCCCTTCTACGTGACTTTACCGAAAGAACCAAGAAGAAGTACAGGGAGGGTCCAACTCAGCACACCGTCTCTATGTGTCTGTCTGTCTCTTTGACCATATCTGTGTCTGTCTGTGGAATCTGTTCACCAGTGCCAGGCACAGCAGGAGTAGTTCACACTGCATGCTGTGTGTGTGTCTCTGTCTGTGTCTCTCTCTCTGTGTCTCTGTCTGTGTCTGTGTGTTTCTCTGTGTATCTCTCTCTCTGCGTGTCTCTGTGTCAGTGTTTGTCTGTATCTCTCTCTCTCCACGTGTCTCTCTCTTTCTGTTTCTCTGTGTGTCCGTGTCTGTCTGTGTCTCTCTCTCTCTGTGTGTCTCTGTGTGTCCGTGTGTGTCTGTGTCTCTGTCTGTGTCCGTATGTCTGTGTGCGTCTGTTCACCAGTGCCAGGCACAGCACGAGGAGTTCACACAGCACGCTGTGTGTGTGTCTGTCTGTGTATCTCTCTCTGTGTGTCTCTGTGTCGGTGTCTGCCTGTGTCTCTCTCCGCGTGTCTTACTCTGAATTTCTCTGTGTGTCCGTGTCTGTCTGTGTCTCTCTCTCTCTCTGTGTCTCTCTCTCTGCGTGTCTCTGTGTCAGTGTTTGTCTGTGTCTCTCTCTCTCCTCGTGTCTCTCTCTCTGTGTTTCTCTGTGTGTCCGTGTCTGTCTGGCTCTCTCTCTCCGTGTCTCTCTCTGTGTGTCCTAGTCTCTCTGCGTGTCTCTGTGTCAGTGTTTGTCTGTGTGTCTCTCTCTGCATGTCTCTGTGTTTCTCTGTGTGTCTGTGTCTGCCTGTGTGTCTCTCTCTCTGCGTCTCTCTCTGTGTTTCTCTGTGTGTCCTAGTCTCTCTGCGTGTCTCTGTGCATCTGTTCACCAGTGCCAGGCACAGCACAAGGAGTTCACACAGCACGCTGTGTGTGTCTGTCTGTGTCTCTCTCTCTGCGTCTCTCTCTCTGTGTCCTAGTCTCTCTGTGTGTCTGTGTGCGGCTGTTCACCAGTGCCAGGCACAGGACGAGGAGTTCACACAGCATGCTGTGTGTCTGTCTGTCTGTCTCTCTCTCTCTCTCTACGTGTCTGTGTGTCCGTGTCTGTCTGTCTCTCTCTCTACGTGTCTCTCTCTGTGTGTGCATCTATTCACCAGCGCCAGGCACAGCACGAGGAGTTCACACAGCACGCTGTTGAAGTACTGGTCCAGGAAGAGGAGGCCTGGACCCATGAATGCCGAGTCCAACAGGAACATCTCCGTGCGGGTCATGTGGGCCACCTGGGGGGGGAGTTCAAGTTTAAGTATTAGGTATATAGCCCTGTGAGCCATTCGGCTCTTGAATCGGGTGCAACCGCAACAAACACAAAAACATGAAAAAAAACATCTTAAAGTGAATATGTGACTAGGTGCAAACAGAAAATCCAAGAAAAGACAGCTAAATATTGTTGCAGAAAAAGCACCGTGTACACCAACGCTGCGTGCAAAAATGCCAGTGGGATGCAAGTCAAACAACAACAATACAACTTAGAGTGAGCGTCACGGGTGAGGGGAGGGGTGGTGATGGGTGGGGGTGGTGAGGGGAGGGAAGTGAGAGAGTGGTGAGCCAACAGTAAGAGCATCATCATCGGTGCGGCGAGTGGTGCGTCTCTGTGTGTGGATGTACAATGTTGCCAACCGTGATAATCTGTGGGTCTCTGTAGGTCTCTATGGATGTGTCTCTATGGGAGTCCCTGTGGGTCTCTATGGGTCTGGGTGTCTGTGGATCTCTGTGTATGTACGTATGTTGAAGTTCTTTCGCACCGTACGTAGCCAGCTGTGCTAATCTGTGGGTCTCTGTAGGTCTCTGTATGTCTCTGTGGGTGTCTCTGTGGGTGTCTCTGTGGGTGTCTCTGTGGGTGTCTCTGTGGGTGTCTCTGTGGGTGTCTCTGTGGGTGTCTCTGTGGGTGTCTCTGTGGGTGTCTCTGTGGGTGTCTCTGTGTGTGTCTCTGTGGGTGTCTCTGTGGGTGTCTCTGTGGGTGTCTCTGTGGGTGTCTCTGTGGGTGTCTCTGTGGGTGTCTCTGTGTGTGTCTCTGTAAGTATCTCTGTGTGTGTCTCTGTGTGTGTCTCTGTGGGTGTCTCTGTGGGTGTCTCTGTGGGTGTCTCTGTGGGTGTCTCTGTGGGTGTCTCTGTGGGTGTCTCTGTGTGTCTCTGTGGATGTCTCTGTGGGTGTCTCTGTGGGTGTCTCTGTGGGTGTCTCTGTGGATCTGGCTGTCTGTGGGCTTCTGTGTATTTATGTATGTACGTTGAACTTCTTTCACACTGTACGTAGGCAACTGTAATAATCGGAGGTGTGGAATGACAACAAACCAAACACAAACAGCAGTTCTAAAGAAATTAGTTTTCAATATCGATTGTGCGCGAGGGTTCATGGGTCACGTTGCGCACATGCCCAGCTACCACATTCCCCAAGCGGCTTCTGTTTGGCCGGACAGAGGGAGCTAAACGGGCACGGCACAGGCTGGAGAGGAGATGGAGCTGATGCGGTACGGGAGGGCATGGGAGCTGAGTGGACTTGACACTGGCCGTGTCAAGATCGGGCTCTGTGGAGGAGGCTCATGAAGGACGCTGCTACTGGGCAGTGCCAAGCTAGATGCACCTTGAGGCTACTGGGCAGTTGGAGGCAGTCACCCTCTAGCAACAATGGAGGGCAGAGGAGCGACGCTCACAACAGCGAGCGGAGCGTCGGGCAGATAAAATGCATCAAGTTAGCACAGTAGGGGGGTACAGCTGGTGGTGCATCTACCGGTCATCTCAGTCAGTCAACCCATGGCACTTGCAGGGTCTATCCCGTGACCTCTTGTCAACGAGCCTTCGACAATTTCACGTGGCCTCAAAGTGCACTTCGCCTGGCACAGGCGCCGTGGTGACTTCAACGCCACTTAGTGGTGAGAGGCGGGCGATGTTATTGTTGTTGTTGTATCTCCGCACGCGTTTGTGTGCGCGCGTGTCTCCGTACGTCTGTGTACCTCCGTGGCAGAAGTCACAACCGGGTACCCGATACCCGTACCCTACCAGATACCCGGCTACCCGTACCCGGCCGGGTATGGGTAGGGTAGGCCGTGAGTCACTGGTGAGTCACCGTTTGTCACTCATTTCCCAACGTCTTGTCTCTTCTCACAATTCAAGTTCCTAGAATCAACCCACCCGCGCCTGCAACATGGCTTCACCCCAGAGGTCGCAATCGGGTACCCGATACCTGTACCCTACCCGTACCCGGCCGGGTACGGGTAGGGTACGGGTACCCGTTTGCGACCCTGGTGCGGCCGGGTACGGGTAAGGAATCAAAACCCGTTTGCGACCTCTGTTCCGTGGGGAGCGGTAGTGTAGCGGTTAGCGCTATGCCGTACTACGAACCCGGTGACCCGAGTTCGATTCCCGCTCACGGCCAACATCGGTGGCGATTGTACGAACCGGTCCTGGGCCTACCCTAGGTCGACTCAACCTCAAATGAGTACCTGGTGCGGTGTGTAAACATCGCCACTAGGGAAACACAAAGGCAGCCGGGCGTGATGCTGGTCACCCACCCCCTCGTGTGCCGTTCCGGCCTTCATAGGTGTTCGCTAACAGCACTTGCCCCTACAGTCTGTTCATGCTACACGGGGATGTGTCTTTGTGTGTGTGTGTGTGTTGAACGTCTTTTGTACCACCGTACGTAGCCAACCGTGCCAATCTGTGGGTATCATTGGGTCTCTGTGGGTCTCTGTGGGTCTCTGTGGGTGTCTATGGGTGTCTCTGTGGGTTGCTATGGGTCTCTATGGGTCTGGGTGTCTGTGGGTCTCTGTGTGTGTATGTGTTTTTAACTTCTTTGGCACCCTACGTAGCCAACCGCATTAATCTGGAGGATATGTATTTGTGTATCTCCGTGTATCTCCGTGTATCTCTGTGTGTCCGCACGTGTCTGTGTGTCTCTGTGTGTATCTCCGTGTATCTCTGTGAGTGTGTCTCCACGCTTGCATTTTTGTGTGTGTCTCTGCGTGTGTGTCCGTGCGTGTGTCCGTGCATGTGTCTGTGTGTCTGTGTATCTCTGTGTGTATCTCTGTGTGTCTCCGTGTCTCCATGTGTCTCTGTGTGGATCTCCATGTATCTCCATGTGTCTGTGTCTGTGAGTGTTGTGAGTGTCTGTGAGTGTCTGTGTGCGTCTCCGTGTGTCTCTATGTATTTCCGTGAGTCTCTGTGCATGTGTCTCCGTGTGTCTGTCAGTGTCTCCGTGTGTCTCCGTGTGTCTCCGTGTGTCTCCGTGTGTCTCTATGTATTTCCGTGTGTCTCCGTGTGTCTGTCAGTGTCTCTGTGTGTCTGTGTGCGTCTCTGTGTGTCTCTATGTATTTCCGTGTGTCTCTGTGCATGTGTCTCCGTGTGTCTCTGTGCATGTGTCTCCGTGTGTCTGTCAGTGTCTCTGTGTGTCTGTGTGCGTCTCTGTGTGCGTCTCTGTGTGTCTCTATGTATTTCCGTGTGTCTCCGTGTGTCTCAGTGTGTCTGTCAGTGTCTCTGTGCGTCTCTGTGTGTCTCCGTGAGTGTCCCCGTGCCCGTCACCACGAGTTTGCAGGTGATCTTGGTGGCGACGAGACCGAACGTGAGGGCGTAGGCGCAGGGGTGGGCCTGCAGGAGGCCCACCGCCGACTTCTTGGCGATCATCCCGGCGAGCGCCATCACCGAGCCGATGTGGAACCCCGGGGAAATCACGCTGGTGCCCTGCAGCACAGCAGCAGCCTGTAAGCGAGTGTGTGTGTGTGTGCCTGTAAGCGAGTGTGTGTGTGTGCCTGTAAGCGAGTGTGTGTGTGCGTGTAAGCGAGTGTGTGTGTGTGCCTGTAAGCGAGTGTGTGTGTGCGTGTAAGCGAGTGTGTGTGTGTGCCTGTAAGCGAGTGTGTGTGTGCCTGTAAGCGAGTGTGTGTGTGCCTGTAAGCGAGTGTGTGTGTGTGCCTGTAAGCGAGTGTGTGTGTGTGCCTGTAAGCGAGTGTGTGTGTGTGCCTGTAAGCGAGTGTGTGTGTGCGTGTAAGCGAGTGTGTGTGTGCGTGTAAGCGAGTGTGTGTGTGCCTGTAAGCGAGTGTGTGTGTGCGTGTAAGCGAGTGTGTGTGTGTGCCTGTAAGCGAGTGTGTGTGTGCCTGTAAGCGAGTGTGTGTGTGCCTGTAAGCGAGGTGTGTGTGCTGTAAGCGAGTGTGTGTGTGTGCCTGTAAGCGAGTGTGTGTGTGTGCCTGTAAGCGAGTGTGTGTGTGTGCCTGTAAGCGAGTGTGTGTGTGCGTGTAAGCGAGTGTGTGTGTGCGTGTAAGCGAGTGTGTGTGTGCGTGTAAGCGAGTGTGTGTGTGCCTGTAAGCGAGTGTGTGTGTGCCTGTAAGCGAGTGTGTGTGTGCCTGTAAGCGAGTGTGTGTGTGCCTGTAGCGAGTGTGTGTGTGTGCCTGTAAGCGAGTGTGTGTGTGTGCCTGTAAGCGAGTGTGTGTGTGCGTGTAAGCGAGTGTGTGTGTGCGTGTAAGCGAGTGTGTGTGTGCCTGTAAGCGAGTGTGTGTGTGCCTGTGTGTGTGTGCCTGTAAGCGAGTGTGTGTGTGCCTGTAAGCGAGTGTGTGTGTGTGCCTGTACGCGAGTGTGTGTGTGTGCCTGTAAGCGAGTGTGTGTGTGTGTCTGTAAGCGAGTGTGTGTGTGTGCCTGTAAGCGAGTGTGTGTGTGCCTGTAAGCGAGTGTGTGTGTGTGCCTGTAAGCGAGTGTGTGTGTGTCTGTAAGCGAGTGTGTGTGTGTGCCTGTAAACGAGTGTGTGTGTGCCTGTAAGCGAGTGTGTGTGTGTGCCTGTGTGTGTGTGCCTGTAAGCGAGTGTGTGTGTGTGCCTGTAAGCGAGTGTGTGTGGTGTGTGCCTGTAAGCGAGTGTGTGTGTGCCTGTAAGCGAGTGTGTGTGTGTGTGCCTGTGTGTGCGTGCCTGTAAGCGAGTGTGTGGGTGCCTGTAAGCGAGTGTGTGTGTGTGCCTGTAAGCGAGTGTGTGTGTGTGTCTGTAAGTGAGTGTGTGTGTGTCTGTAAGCGAGTGTGTGTGCCTGTAAGCGAGTGTGTGTGTGCCTGTAAGCGAGTGTGTGTGTACCTGTAAGCGAGTGTGTGTGCCTGTAAGCGAGTGTGTGTGTCTGTAAGCGAGTGAGTGTGTGTGCCTGTAAGCGAGTGTGTGTGCCTGTAGGCGAGTGTGTGTGTGCCTGTATGTGTGTCTTCCTCTATGTGAGCATGTGCCTGTATATGTGTACCTGTGAGTGTGTGTCCGTATGTGTGTGCCTGTATGTAAGAATGAGTTCCTGTATATGAGTGCGTGCCTGAATGTGAATGTGTCCCTGTATGTGAGTTTGTGCCTGTATGTATGTGTGTGTGCCTGTATGTGTGTGTGTCTGTGAGTGCGTGGCTGTATGTGAGTACGTATGTGCTTGTATGTAAGAGTGTGTGCCTGTATGTGTGTGTGCCTGTATGTGAGTGTGTCTGTATGTGAGTGTGCCTGTATTGTGTGTGTCTGTATGTGTGTGTCTGTATGTGTCTGTATGTGGTGTGTCTGTATGTGTTGTGTCTGTATGTGT